CCAACTCGCGTTGTCTTTGGGTTCTGCTTGGATTGAAAGACTTGGAAAGGCCTCACGGTTTTCCCGTTAAGAGGCGGTGCCAAACAAAAACTCTGCTGCGGCCTTGTCGGGTCGTGGGCAATGCAAGAAATTGCATCCCTTGTTGAAACTGAAAGTAGGTCAATTTCATTGCAAGACTAAGGGTAATCCTTGCAGCAATCTTCAGGTTTCTGCTTGCATGTGGTTGGTATATTTCGGGAATCCGCCAAGTCCCTGACAGCCACTGAATTGTCTTCCAGGGACTACTTGGCTTCGTGGAGGCATGTCTCAAAGCATACCCCCACTTTGGCTTCGCTTTCAGAGGGGCAATAGGCGGGTCTTTGGGCACCTTCCCAAAGATGAACTGCGTGAAAAACGGGAGATTCCATGTTTGGCGGCCTTCCTGCTGGGTTCTGAATAACCAGTTCTTCAGTTGCAATGGAGGCATGGTGGCCTATCTAGCAGACACTATACGACTTCAGGTTTCACTTTCAATTCGTACAACTTGGGCCACATGTCAAATGATTCCAACAAGTGATTCTCTGTTGGCGACCCTCTGTTTACGAAGTTGCATTCAAAACACAGGGTCCCCAAAGTTGCCCCGTTACATCCCACTGTATTCCTACTGTTGAGTGAACTGGCAATGTTGTCTGCAGCTAACGAGGGTTCTGCATCCAGACCCGCCACCACCGTTGCGATGGCACTGCCTGAGCCTCAAAGAAATCATCCAGCACTACATGTTTGTGAACAACAACACAGCCTCACATCGCAAGGCTTGTTTGTCTCCTCCAAAACAATACTCTTCGCTGGTTCATGGTTGACGACGCTCATTCTCAACAAGTTGAAAGCTTGCAAGTCATAGCAAACCGTTCAAACCATACTAAACAAAACAGAAAGAGCAAAAGACATCCAGAAAATCATCCAGAAGCCTTCTCTTTGAAACGAAACGATTCAAAGCACCACCTCCGAGCCAGGCTGACAGCTCTGAGCCGCCCCACGCCTCTGTATAGGTGTATTCAGACCTCAAAGCGGTCGAACTCGACTTCGAGACATGGGTGTGTCTTAAAATCACAGGAAATCGGATTTAAATGCCGCGGTTTCCTATTGGTTGCCCTTTGAAACTTTGAAACTGCTAAACATACACACCTAGAAGCCTTTGCGTTGAAAGGTCAAGCTTTCTTATCGAAGGCGAGTCAAATGTCAGGACCCGAGATGTCCGTTTGACAAACTGGTAGGAAAGAAAGCATGGAAGTAGCAAAGCCACACACAAGACATAGAACACAACCGAACCAAAACAAAACAAAGCAAAACAAAACAATACCAACCAACCAACCGACCGACCAACCAACCAAACAAACAAAAGCAAGCAGCTGGCTTCCCTTTGGACCCGGAAAGATCCTGACGTGCGCGTTTTGGGCGCTCCGGGCACGTTGTCCGCGGCGCCAGCGGCTTTTGCCTTGGCCTGGCGGCTCGACCACTTTCCACTCCGAGTGACACCGATTGCCCTCTCACCGACTAGCAAGGGTATGGGTCAAAATAAAACCACCAGGCGACCCCATTTTTTAGTCTTTGGTTCCATTTACCCGGGTTTCGTTTTGGGTACGCCTTTTTGACCCATAGCCACATGGAAGTGCACAGACCCAGTGAAAGACAATACTTTTCCTCCTGGACTTCCATGTGAGTTGGTGGTGGGAGAGTAGAATTCGGTGACTGTGCAACCTTTCTGTTGGAAGCTTCCATTCGGGGTGGTGTTCAGGAAAAAGATGCAAAGCCCTGCGTCGGTCGCAGTGCGCGCTTCGCACTTGCCCATTTCCTTAGGTTTGCCGGCTACAACGCTTAGCTCCTGGCGTCCCCCGGTTCAGGAAAAGCAGCGATTCATGGGTAGCCAGGACTCATAGAAGCCTGCTGATTTGATCGGATGTGACTCGGATGAGTCAATCTTGAGTTGCTGGATGGGGATGCAGCTGACGGCACTCTTGGGAGGCTGTTGTGACCCTGGATCGATCCCACCGAAAGGGGAATCTGTGTTACGAAGTGGACATCAGGCCAGTTGACAACAATCACTTTAGGATCACGGGCAGCTTACCAAACAATGGCTCAGCTTGCCATGGGACACATAAAACAGAACATGTCCAGATGGTTGGTTGGTTGGTTGTTAAATGTGTTGTAGACGCACGACTGCTAGTACTCTTGTGTCTGCGCACCCTGATGTATTCTCTCAAAGGGACCACCACGCTTCACCATCGCACGCGGCGAACAGTAGTTTGTTGCTGTGGAAGATCTCAGGTACCCTGGTTCACTTTGGTTTAGAGGGAAACCGAAAGGACACCCAGCATTTTGTTGGGTTTCCAATTTTGACACAGACCCACATGCTGTTTCTGAGGACGAGCTGAGTCTCCGCTCAAGCAATACTCACCAGGACCACATCTGGAAGGGACGAGGACACATGACGACTCCAGTGCAAATCAAAGAGCAGCTTCTGCATCCCCCCATGCATTCCTGCCTTAGAGGCCACCGGCGCCTTGAATTGAAGGCGGCAAAGGGCCGAAAAAGTGATGTTCAAGCCACAAAAAGGCATATGCAGCATAAGGACTCCAATGTGAAAAAGCAACGCACATTCTATACGCACCCCGGTAGCATTGTTCCAGTATGTTGATGTCGAGCAAGTGATCTGGTTGAACAATCGGCTGTTTGGATTAGTCATGTGCCTTGGCTTTATGAAGTTGGCTTGCGTGTGAAAAGGGAATATAAAGGCACGGTAATACATGCACTTGCTTCATGGGTTACTGCACTTGTTCTGCTATACGATTTATCATGGGTACATCCTAAAATGAATGACCCCTCCAAATGGTTGGTTTCCTTTTGGCAGTTGTTTTTGAACCAGCCCGGCATGTTATCCGGGAAACATTAGCACATGTATATTAATATTATATACATACACTACACACCTGTAATACACACACATTATTAATGCACACACACACATGTTTTTTGATGTTATACACAGAATATCCAGTAAGCCCAACACCCTGCAAATTGAACTTGTTGTCCCCGCCTTTGCTTGAGTAGTCCAAGCACCGAACTAGTACTTGTTGGGTGCCAAGGATTGATGGATGCCACTTCCGGCCCACATGCTTGGGACATGCCTTCAGGACCTTTGCGCTTTTCAAGGAGCTCAGGGCAGGGCTTGCATGCAAAATCACCCTGGATTCGGTGTGACACCAACTTTGGGATGACTCCCTAGGAACCAACAAGTCCTCTCTTGGAGTTGGCATCTTTTTGTGCCCTTTTTCATTGGTTTTATTGGAAAACCAAGAGGAACACCAACCGTTTTGTGCGTCCCCTCAAAAAAGGCCCATCACCCATCCCAAGTAGACCGCTTCTACATTTCAAACTCACGGATGCCGCCACAAGCGTGCGGCTGTGCTCTCTTTTGCCACAAGTCCCCCTAGCTGCTTTTGGCAATATTCATGTGTGTCCCCATCTGAAAATCTGAGTCGTAATCAAAACCCGGTAGTCAAATGGTCTACCCAGAACCATGTTCAAGAAGTAAGAAGGCGGCCGCAACTATTTCTGGCTGGGACTGCCCCTTACTAACCTTCATCTACCCGGTTTTGATTGTGGCTCATCTGACTTGACTGCGGACAAGCTTCTTTGATATTTGCAACTAGGTGAGTGTCCCCCCCCTATAACAGTAGATCGCAGTTTGTCCATGTCCATTCACTTGTTGGCTCCTCAACTAATTGTTGTCTGTTGGCCGCCCAGCATCGCTGCCGACTCCTGCCAGAAAATAAGTCAACAAATAATCAGCTGAACAGAGACAAACCAAGCCACGCCCGACCACGTCAAACCAAGCCAGGCCGAACAAAACAAACCATACCATCAGAAGAACAGAAACGCAAAGCAGCATGAACACAACACGCTAGCAAACAAAACATGAGAGTCAACCCAAATTTGCCTTACCATGGGCCTCTCATTTGGATGACTGAAAACCAAAAACGGATGCCTCCCCTCTCCCCAGAGTTGGGCTCCCACTGGACGCGCTGGCACCTTGGGCCTCGTAGAGTTTGTCGGACCACAGTTGCGCGAGGGACCGGCCATACGCCGAAGGTCATAAATAGGTCTGCCTTTTTGCAAAGGGTATCCGTTTTGGGGTTGCTGAAAAGGGAAACCAGAGGGAGCACCATTCTTCTGCGGGGTTCCCTATTTTGAGACACGCCTGCCCACTCTTTTAAAGGATCGTGCTTTTCGAACGCCAGTCGTTTCCGCAAATGTTCGATGGTTGGAATTCGGAAAGAGGAAGCTTGCCCTAGAATAAAGCAGTGCCTGGGGCACAAGGCTTGTCCTCAGGTTTTCTCTCTCGTGGAGCCCGATCGTACTGACGTTGTTGCCAAGGTTGACCCCCCCAACATGTTCATTTGGTGTGCTTGAGAAATCACTCAGAGTTGCAGGGGTGAGTGAGCATGAAGACGGTACGGTTAGACATGTGATTCTAGGTGGTTTCAACGATTTTGTGTTTGGCCTTACCAAGATCCATATCAAATCTGGTAGTTGAGCCGGTGACCAACAGCGGTGTTGGACGCTGCCCAACTATCAAAAAGGAGCTGTCCTCGTGCGGATGACCTATACTCCCCCTCGATGGGTTGCGCCTAGCACTGTAAACCAACCATCATGTTTCTGGGGGTCTATTTCGGGAAGCACTATCGCGCTTGTCCGTTCTAGTGTTCCTGCGTTTGTTGGTTCTTTGAAAATTAGGGTGTTGCGGGAGTTTAGAAACCAGCTTTATCATCCGTCCCCCATCCCCACCACACACAAACGGACATGGACAACTGGGTATGCTCCCCCATGACCCCTTTCCCAGCACTCTCTCTCTCGAGAGCAAGACGGCACCGAAGGGCAACCGTGGCAGTTTCTCCAAGCCTCCCTAGTGGGTCGCTTGGCCGTGTCACACTCAGGAGCCCCTTTTCTAGTGCCACCTTCCCCATTCTTTCCAGGGATCCTTCTTTCCAGAAAACCTCCGGAAACCCAGGGAAACGATGGTTGGAAAGAATGGGGCCCCTGCCTGGGCGCAGGCGGGGCGCCTGCCTGCGGCCGCCTGAGCATAGAAAAAAACGTCCCAAAGGAGCACGTGAGTTGATCCAACCTAGAAATAAAGGGCCCCCCAAAAAAACACTAACACAAAAATCACAAATACATACATAAAGAGGGAATATTTTTGGGCTTTCGCGATTTCGGGTTGCAAGCCCTTTCCTTTTGAAAGTTTCCCACAGATACCGAAACACACACACACAAAAGCGCCGAAGCCTTTGGGGGTAGAGCAGGGCTTCTGAACCTCACATAGAGTACCCCCTACTCCAAATACCCACGTTGTTTGGGGTATTTCTTGAAAAACCTGGGTTTCCATGGAAAATGCATCCTTTTTAGTAGAGGGTCGACATCATACCCTAGAAAAAGAGGGTATTTGGAGTAGGGGGTATGTTCCTGTGGCACCGCTCTCTGGTTGAACACCAAAGTATGCTATGCCCCAAAGTTGACTTACAACACAAAGCGAAGCCAGAAAATCTGAGTAGTGAGCTGAACTGAAATACAGCAGGCTACGCACACACACACACACAGACACACACACAGACACAGACACAGACACAGACACACACACACAAACAGACACACAGAGACACACGGAGACACACACACACACACACACACACTTAAACTCCAGATGGAGGGTGCTAATCTTTCGAGTGCAACTGATGAGTCTCGAGTACAACTGATGAGTCTCGACTGGGTTCTGCTCGCGATGCACTCGGCTTCCCTCTAGCAGCGAACACGTTACCCGAAAGAACAAGAAGCACAAACAGCGCCGCAACCAAGGGGCCAAAAGGACTTTCAGAATCACTGAAGCAGGTACAAGATGCTGCGTCCAGCATCTCCTCCACCCGATTTCCGTAGCTTCGTTGGCACGGCTTGGAAATCAGGCGCCGTGCCCCCTGTGGTAAAGGTGAAAGCTTGATGTTGGTGACAGGGTATTCTGTCACTCCGCACACACACGCCCCTCAGTGAGGGGCGAGAAGTCTCTTTTTCTGCAGGAAGATCACATGCTCAACTTGTGTCTCTATCGTTTGCCAAAATATCCACCGCGGCGAGGGGAACGCGAAACTGCCCTAAGCCGCTCAGAAGACGGGAACGAAAGATCACCACGATGAGCATTACGGGTGTCGCCATAGAAGACTGGAGGGAATTGCAAAGCAGTCGAGCGATCACCGTCAGAAATAGGGGGAGCATAGGTGAACATTTCCTCAACTCGGATTGCGTCCGAATTCTGCACGTCAACAAGTGATTGATCACGGGCATGATGTGTGGAGAAGGACTCCCAGCGAGAAAGAATGCGTTGGTATCCTTGATGCTGCCAGTCGCGAATGGTCCACGCCTGATTGTGTTCTCCAGTCCCACAATGGGATCAGTTACCCGCTTCCACTCCCGAAACGAGTTGTCTGGTAGGTCAGGTACGGTTTCTCCTGGTTGCCACCGTTGAGGTTGTCCCGGAGTATAGATCCGCACCCACTCCTGATCCTGCCAGACCGAATATTCGAGCCATGGGTACTGCTTTGCATCCTCGATGTCCATGCCGAAGTGAGAGATCTCAGAGACAGGACGTACCGCGGGTTCAGATCCAGCTAGCAAAGAAACAGTCACCATGTACAAACATGCACAATCAGCAACCAAGCAAGGAAGCACAAGCATGAAAAGCACCCTTTTGTGCCATCAGTCTATTCATCATTTAGCTCGAAGATAGGCTTCTCCTTGGCGGTGGAGCTGCATGATTGGGTCGTAGGCAGGTATGGATCAGAGACCCCAATAGACTCTGGTGGTGCAACTCCACGAGATGCACGTACTGGTTGGTGTTGTTGGGATGCATGACGTGCGCGATCCGACAGTTGTTGAGAGATCCCATCTTGAAGACGAGTGAGATCCTCAGTGGAGAAAGCCGCCGCATCCGATGATCTAAGAATCGCATTCAACATTTGCGGTGACATACACAAAGCCGAGGATTGCGTGGCCACGCTATGTTGATCAGGAAAAGACATCGAATCGAAGTCGTGACCAGCTTGAGGGGCAGCGACTCGCCGATAGCCCTCTGTGGCCCAGTCCCTTTTGTACCAAATGCTGTTGTCGGGCTGCGCACCTTCTTGATCAGGATTTGGGACATAGAACTCCTTCCACTCTCTGTATGTATGAGGCGGAGGCGGAGCATCATGTTCGTCCTGTGGAGTCCATGATCCCGGGTGAAAGATCTTGACCCACTGGGCATCTGGCTGTTGAGGATCCGGGCACCACTCCAGCCACGGCATGACAACTCAAACCCTTGATGACAAATTGAGAGGTGTACGGCTGCAGGCTACTAGTACTACAATGTGACACAACAGCAAACATGCAAGCAAACACTTTTGTAGCAAGGCGCGGCTCAGGTGTCAAAGTCACTCGCCCCAATCAAATTGAATTGAATATCCAGGAAAGACGAGGACGAACATCAGCCACCATCTGAGTTCGAGGATGCCGACGAAGAGGACAGTCCAGCGTACATGAGGTCTGGTGATCCCGAAGCGAAAACTGGACGTGCAATGTTGGGGCGCGGATGACCGAGCCGTTGATATCCTCTGCTGACCCAGTCACGATACTGCCATGTATAAAAGGACGCATATGAGACTGGCTGGGAAACAGAGCCCATATTGGTGCCGCCCGTGCTGTCACTAGGCCAATACACGTCGAAGTGGTAGAATTTGTGCCATTCCCGATAGGTGGTTGTGTCCTCCGGGGCCGGTCCCAAGGTGATTTCGGCGACTGGTTGCCACGGACCAGGTACATAGACCCGAATCCATTCAACGCTTGTGCTCGCAGGGCCATTGACGATGTCGTACTCAAAGTAGCGTGGTAGGGTCCATCTTGCAGTGCCATATATTGTAGAATTGAACATATCAACCAGGGAAGCCGCTTTGAGGCAAAAGGGAGCGGCGAAAACATGGAGACGGAAAGCACAACACAAGTCAAGACAACCCAAGTTGATGCAGCAATCAAATCAGGCACAATCGCATCATTTTAACCGACATGTTGCTCAAGTATCAATCCGATTCGTTCCAAGGATCATAGAATGGTGGGGGAGAAGGTTCCGGCCACGCCCCATCCGGAACTGAAGACTCCGACGAGGAAGTAACTTCTTCATTCACGAGCGCGCCGATCCAATGGCTGGTAGTGGAATGCCAAGGCGTGGATAACCTCGTGTTTCCCAGTCTCGGTACTCCCACACGTGGTGTGACACATACGAAATGGGCATGACATTAGGGTCCGCAGCTGTTCCTCCGGTGCTGTCTGCGGGCAAGTACACGTCAAAGTGATATGACTTGCGCCACTCCCGATACGTGGAAGCGTAGTCTGGGGCACGTCCCAGAGTAGCTGTGGCTACGGGTTGCCACGCGCCCGGTGTGTAAATTCGAATCCATTCCACTCCTCTCTCAATGTGGTACTCAAAATAGTGCGGGTACATAACAGCAAAATGGGTCGTCACAGGGCCGCTGAAAGAAACCGCAAAGCCACTGAATCTGCGGCGAAACACTCATGCCATGACAACCCCGACGCAATGAGAATGTGTTGAACAACGCAATGCAAGGCAACTTTTCAAACTGAAGGCGGGACGAATCCACAAGGTCTATAGTATACGACACCTATGCTTCACCGCCGCTGATGCCGCACACACCTGCAATGGTAATGTCCTGGTCGGCGACGAGCACAGGGAGAAAGACACTTCCGTCCATGATGTAGAAAGGCATGACAGTAATGCTTGCAACTTGTCACTGGGGACAGCGATGGACGGGTGGCTCGTTTTGAAGGGAACACGGTGAAGGGTCGCCGAGATCTCCGTAGGGCAGAAGCGGATGCTTTTCGAGAGCGTTTCGGAGAACGCGTGAGACTGCGTAGATCATCATCACGGAACTGGTCAGCGCTGCATATCGAGCGGCGTGTGCGCTGCGATTTCACTGTGGCAGGGCAGGACTGTCCTTGAGGAGAAGGGCTCGAGGAGGCACGCAATGAGGGCATAAACTGTGGGTGTAGAATCACCGGTGGTGGTGGCGGTGGAGGAGGTGGAGGTGAAAGAAGTATTGGAAACCTTGGCGGGGGTGGAGGTGAAGCAGTCCATCGAACTGGTCTTTCAAGCAATGTGCCAGGCCCGTGAAACTGTAACCACGTCGGCTGCGCTCCATGGGTCCAAGCGATGTATGTCTGCACATCTTGCTCCAACATGATCTGAGCAGCTCAGCCATGCATGAAATCCAAGTCATCAACAACTTCCATGACAACCAACAATGCCCTCACTGGCAGAAATGTCATGTAGGTCCTGCAAGTCATTACTGCAAAGTATGCCAGCCATGTCATGCAAGCAAGCAAGAAAAGAATCATGCGATCTGCCATGTCTGCAATCCAAGCCATCTCGACAACATGCAACGCTCACAGAATGCACTGCCACGTCCTACGGACTAGTCCTCCGGTAGTCGCTGGTTCTTTCGATGCACAGTGCCCTAAGCGCGAGCCTCAAGTTGCTGGTGGACCTTCCAGGCGTGCTTGACTTCCTCTATGGGCTTCTGAAGGAAACGGGCAATGGTTTTGTAGGTGGGCCTGGAATCCTTGTCCTTTTTCCGTCTGACCATCTCATCCAGCTCACCCTGTGTCCACGCCGTAAAAGGTTCAAGATGTGCATTGCGAAGGGCAATAGTGAATTCTTGTAGAAGTTCCTGAGGTCCATGAACCACCGTGGGAGATGGACGGAACGATGAAGCACCTGGATGTCGACGAATTGAACCATCCGAATCCGAATCAGGTGTGGTAGGCGATGTCTGTCCTGGTTCGCGTCCACTGCGAGGGGGTAGGGGAACAAGAGGTCTTGGCGGTGGCAACCGATCCAACATTGACTCTGGGCGGCGACCAGAAGTGCTGTCAGTGGCATCCCGATGTGCCGCACGAGGCGGGGATAATGCCGGTATATACCAGGTGGAGGAAGTATCCACAGGCCGGGTTCGGATTCGAGTAGGAGAGCGAGATCGATCA